AACTCACACCACTCATCTGCTTCCTCACTCTCACGACTCTCATTGAGTAACCCAGTGCACAATTCTTCCCTCCCAGAAGCCCTGTCCCACCAGTACCCTCATCCCTTGGCACTCTGCCCCACCAACCAGAGGACCACTGAAATCTCTGGCCCGTTCTCAGCAGGACTCTGCAGGTCCCTGAGCCTGTCAGAGCCGCTGAGGGGAGCTGAGCATTCCTGATGCACACAGATCCAGAGAGAGAAGCAGAGGGTGAGACAGAGCCAGAGGGGCTCAGAGAGGCAGAGGGAGATCGGTGCAGACAGAGATGGTGGGAGGTGAGGATAGGCAGAGGGAGAGAGTGAATCCGAGTTAGACAGATAAAGAGAGAAATGGCTGGTGAGGACTCAGGACAGGGAAGGAGATGAAAGCAGCCGCCCTGATGTCATTCACAGTGGGAGTGGATGCCCCATCTCTCGGGGCGAGTCATCCCAATGAGAAAGATGACCCAGTTCCACAGAGTATGGTCAGCATCTCTGTGACCATGGAGGGAGCCCGGATGATGAGCGCACCCCTCAGTGATGCAGCGACAAGCACTGTCTGTGGCCCTGGCACTTGATTCAGGCCCACACAGTGTCCTGAAGGGGAGGCCAGAGTTTGAACTGAGACAGATTCTCTTCTCCTGGAGGACAGTCCCACATGTGAAGATGACTTAATCACAGCAGAGTCCAACTGCAGGGGAGAATGAACCAGGGGTGACTGCCTTGCTAATCTGCCGCTACGCCGATCGTCGGCACTCGGACATTTTCAAACCTTCCCTGTACTCAGTCCTCACCAACCTTCTCTTCCTTTTCTTGTCTAACTCTGATTCACTCTCTCCCTCTCTTTCTGCACCTGTCTCCTTCTACCTCTCTGTATGTACCCCTCTTGCCCTGAGGTCTCCCCCTGTGTTCCTCTCTCTGATTCCTTGCAGGGCTAGGCATGCCCGGCATCCCTCATCTGCTCACACAGGCCGTGGGACCTGCAGAGTCATGGAGAAAACAGGTCAGAGATGCCATCGATGCTTGGCTGGTGGGGTGGAGTGTGGAGAGGAGCAGGCTGGAGGGAGTGTGATTGAGTGGAAAGACATGTGCACTAGGTTACCCAGTAAGGGCAGAGAGAGTGATGCAGCAGATGGGTGATGTTTGTTCTTGAATCCTGAATAGGGGAGAGTAGTTCAGCCTGTCTCCAGGGTGGTGGAGGGCTCAGGGAAATGACTGGAGTGCCAGAAACCATCAAGAGGGTGCCCGCCTGGGCACTGGAGTAGCCCCCTGAATTGGGTCAGGAAGAGTCATCAAAGTTGTATTCACGGATCCTCTGTCTCAACACATGGTGTCCAGATATGGTAAGGCCCAAAAGCTGAACAGAATGCCTGATGGGAGCTCCAGGATTGCTGTGTGCTGTGGCTATGCATTCTGCAGCCCAGTGGCAGTCCTGAGGGCTGCTGAACTAAATCAGTTCACGAGAAGCTTCTGTGTGGTTGGGCCTGAAGATTTTGGACTCTGCACCAGAACTGTGATGCAGATGTGCCATGGCTTTTGAGTATTAACCTAAGGAACTTGCCATTGTGCAGGCCCAAATTAGTTAACTATCTGCTGCAATCTACCATTTCCCAAGTTTTACCTCATGATACAAAACTAAAACAAGCAATCTGTTTTTTGACAATGATCACACAATTTCTAATGATATATAAACTCACAGACAATAATATATTTGATGACATTGCAGAGCTTGACTTCCTATCACATGTCTCTCTCCTTGGTAATCTAATCTTGCAAAATACACATTCTTGTATAGACATGAGTTGTGAAATGGACCATTGTACCTGCTGATATACTTTCTTGATTATATAGAGTGCAATGATATAAAGTTGATGTGGCAGCTATTGCTCATCCAGTGTATTCCTAAAATTCACAGAGATCTCAAATTTACTTATCCAATGTGTACTAATTCTATTGTGTAGTTGGGCAGATCCTTAAGTCACCACTTGGTGCCATCCCTAAGTACTGCTCTGCAGAATTAGGAACACAGATGGCAGACTGGTTAGGTGAACAGGGCCTGAGGACTTGGGCAGTGGGTGAATTATCTGGTGGATATCCACTAGGGAGGTGATCTTTTGTGCAAGTCAATAGTGAGAAGGAGGCCAGTGCTGTGAAGAGACTGGATGCCAAAGAAGTGGACAACTTGAGTTAAGTCAACACAAAATTTATTAACATTAATATATACAATGAAAACAAGGAAACTGAAAGGAAGTAAAATGAAACCTAAACTTAAATCAACTATAATCAAAGAATTTGAACAAGAGAAAAGACCAGGGCTTGTGGTGGAGGAGAGGTCAAAGTTCAAAGAGGGCATGTGGCTGGGAAAAGAGGTTTGGGAAAACTAGTTCTGAATTGCCAGCTGTCCCCAGAGGTGGACAGGCTAGGCCGGGGAAAGGGTCAGTTCTCTTTGAGGGCTGATATCAGGTGACTAGGATCTGGTCAGCCTGCAGGATCACACAGGGTCTTGCTGCCCAAGAGGGCATTTCCTAGATTACTATCTTCTGTTGAAGCTGCGAGTTGTTGCCCAGGGCTGATTTCACACTGCAGGGGTGAATGAACTCAGCACCCTCAGCCTAAGGTGCTGCATCCTCGCCAATGAATAATACACTCTGCAGCTGGCCTCACAGTTCAGAATCATCTGAGAATTCTGCTAGATCCTCCTCAGGTATTTCCTCCTCCAGCTCAGATGCTGTGAACACCCAGCACTGGCGAACACTAGGGACATCCTGGCCTTGAAGCTTCTCCCACAGGGGGGCTACAGTGCATCCCATCTCTGCCATCATCCTCTGCTGGGGTTCGGCTGAGCTTGGCTCACCCTTCAGGTGTGGGCTAAGCTCAACACCATCAACTTGTCCTGGAAGATTTGGGAGTGGGCCTGACTCTCCCAGCAGTGGTGGTATAAGCTCAATGGTCAGAGGACATCTGGCAAGATGCTGGCTAGTGGCAATCTCACCGTGCAGGGATACAGAGATCTCAGAGTCTCCTTGGCCACCTGCAGAATGCTGGGTATTTTGTGGATGATCATAGGAGAGAGATGATCCTGGTGTCTCCTCTCGGCATGTGAAGTCCGCTTGTGATGAATTGGATACATGGCAGGACTCTGGTCCTGTCCAGTGAGATGCAGTGGTGCCCAGCTTTAGTGGAGAAGGAGCTGGAGATCAATGGAGAAGCCATCAGCCACAAGCCACACTGCCCCATGCCTTTGCCAACAGACACATGCCAGAGCCCAGAACAAAGACCAGTCCGGGATAGTAACCCTCGGGAATTTGCCCCCTACGTCCAGCAGCTTGATGTCCTAGTTTAGAGTGCTCCTAGACCAAACCCTTCCCGCGTGGCTACCTCCCAGTGGAGATATGGACCTCCACCTCCTAGAGGAGTCTCGGCACGACCATGGGCCACTCACCCTCAGGAAATTCCGCCATTGGCTTCAGGTCTTTTGCCCTGCATTTGTGTACAAGCTCCATACACTGAAACTTGCGCCTGGTGTTAGCGCAGGTTTTAGGCCTACAACGGATCGCGCTCAATGGGCTGGGAGGCGGGTAGGGGAAATCCTCTTCCTCAGACTCTTCATCTTCCAGGTTTAGTGGTGGAGAAGGAGCTGGAGATCAATGGAGAAGCCATCAGCCACAAGCCATACTGCCCCGTGCCTTTGCAACAGACTACATGCCAGAGCCCTGAACAAAGACCAGTCCGGGATAGTAACCCTCAGGCATTTGCCCCCAAAGTCCATCAGCTCGATGTCCTAGTTTAGTGCTCCTAGACCAAACCCTTCCCGCGTGGGCACCTCCCAGGGGAGATATGGACCTCCACCTCCTAGAGGAGTCTCGGCACGACCATGGGCCACTCACCCTCAGGAAATTCCTCCATTGGCTTCAGGTCTTTTGCCCTGCACTTGTGTACAAGCTCCATAACTGAAACTTCCGCCTGTGTTAGCGCAGGTTTTGGGCCTGCAACGGATTGTGCTCAGTGGGCTGGGAGGCGAGTAGGGGAAATCCTCTTCCTTGGACTCTTCATCTTCCAGGTTCCAGGGTACCTCCAAGGAGAAAACAGAAACACCTGCAGGGTGGCATGTAACTGGGATACGAGGGGGCGATTGTGGCTTTTGGGTCCCATAGCACTGGGAGTTACCATGACGCACAACCTGGGAGGAACGTACCCTTCTCCAGGAGCACATACATGATGTCACTCACATAGGAACCCGTGCACACACACTCACACACTCTCACACTCACTCAAGCACACACAGAGTCCTAGGGGGGCCAGGGAGCATTAGAGTGGTGACCTGGTATGTCCTCTCCCAGTGAACCCCTGCTTACCGCTGGGGCAACGCTGGCTCCTGGCCTGCCAAATCTGAGTAGTCTCCTGATGCCTTTCAGCAATGTCTGAAAGAGGTTCCTGCGCCTTTTCCTTTGGTCAGGAGACCTCGGCATGCTCAAAACATCTTTGCTGCTCCTGGTACTCCCTGAAAGTGAACTGGGTCGATTTTTGTTTAGAACCTGGCTACCGGGATACTGGGTTCTGAGTATTGTGCTGTGTCAATCAGGAAAGTGATGTCACACTGAGATTCCCTTACCTGGACTCCTTCAGAGAAGCCCCTCCCCCTTTGGCTGCTTGGGTCCCTTCCTGTGCCTGTCCATCCACTCACGGACACCAGAACGACTGCTCAAAGCCCTTGGATGGCTCCATGTAGCCAGGGCCTCAGGAGGGGATGAGGTTCCGGCTGCTGAACCGGCTGGATGTTCTCCTGCCAAGGATAAAACCTTGGAGCTTCCTTTGCCGCCAGGCCCCTTTTTCCCATTTGCCCAATAGGGCCTTGTACCGCCTCTCCTAAGGAGGTGCACAGGGCTGGCCCGGCCTCCCTGCTGTTTCTTGTAGGGGAGGCTGTTGTCCTTGGGACTCCGGCTAATGTTGGCCTGGATAGGCCCATTCCAGAGAGGTCACAACACACCAACCCAGATCTACTGCCTCTGCTGTGGGCAAGTCATCTTCCTTCTGTGTGCTTGTCCTCCTGGGGGAATAGAAAATGTCTCAATTCACCCCACTGTCCTAAGGCCACAACCTTCATGACCCCGTATGGGCCAGAATCAAGTTCCAGGACGACAGACAGGGCACGTGTGCTGGATCACTGATGTGTCCAGCCTCCCTTCTTGCTCAAGTACCTGCTGACAATACTCTGTGGAACTGGGATTGGTTTCTTATTGGGATTAGACCCCAGAGTTGGGCATCCACTCCAGAGCAAGTCATATCAGGTTGGCCATTTTCAAACCTTCCCTGTACTCAGTCCTCACCAACCTTCTCTTCCTTTTGCTGTCTAACTCTGATTCACTCTCTCCCTCTCTTTCTGCCCCTGTCTCCTCTCCTCCTCTGTATGTATCCCTCTTGCCCTGAAGTCTCCCCCGTGTTCCTCTCTCTGATCCCTTGCAGGGCTACGCATGCTCAGCATCCCTCATCTGCTCACACAGGCCGTGGGACCTGCAGAGTCATGGTGAAAACAGGTCAGAGATGCCATCGATGCTTGGCTGGGGTGGAGTGTGGGAGAGGAGCAGGCTGGGGGAGAGTGTGGTTGAGTGGAAAGACATGTGCACTAGGTTACCCAGTAAGGGCAGAGAGAGTGATGCAGCAGATGGGTTGTTTTGTTGAATCCTGAATTGGGGAGAGTAGCCCAGCCTGTCTCCAGGGTGGTGGAGGGCTCAGGGAAATGATCTGGAGGCCAAAACCATCAGACGGTGCACCGCCTGGGCACTGGGAGTAGCCCCTGAATTGGGTCAGGAAGAGTCATCAAAAGTTGTATTCACGGATCCTCTGTCTCAACACACGGTGTCTAGATATGGTAAAGCCCAGAAGCTGAACAGAATGCCTGATGGGAGCTCCAGGATTGCTGTGTGCTGTGGCTATGCATTCTTCAGCCCAGAGGCAGTCCTGAGGGCGGCTGAACTAGATCAGTTCAGGAGGAGCCTCTGTGTGGTTGGGCCTGAAGATTTTGGACTCTGCACCAGATCTGTGGTGCAGATGTGCCATGGCTTTTGAGTATTAACCTAAGGAACTTGCCATTGTGCAGGCCCTAATAGTTATCTATCTGCTACAATCTACCATTTCCCAAGGTTTACCTCATGATTCATAAGATAAATCAAGCAATCTCTTCTTTGACAATAATCACACAAGTTCTAATGATATATAACCCCACAAACAATAAATAATTGATGAAATTGCAGAGCTTGACATCCTATCACATGTCTCTCTCCTTGGTAATATAATCTTGTAAAATACAAATTCTGTATAGACATGAGTTCATGAAATGGACCATTGTACATGCTGATAACTTTCTGATTATGTAGAGTGCAATGATATAAAGCTGATGTGGCAGCTATTGCTCATCCAGTGTATTCCTAAAGAGATCTCAAATTTACTTATCCAATGTGTACTAATTCTATTGTTTTGTAGGGCAGATCCTTAAGTCACCACTTGGTACCATCCCTAAGTACTGCTCTGCAGAATTAAACAACAGATGGCAGACTCGTGAGGTGAACAGGGCCTGAGGACTTGGGCAGCGGGTGAATTATCTGGTGGATATCCACTCGGAGGTGATCTTTTCTGCAAGTCAATAGTGAGAAGGAGGCCACTGCTGTGAAGAGACTGGACGCCAAAGGAGTGGACAACTTGAGTAGAGTCTACACAAACTTTATTAACATTAATACATACAATGAAAACAAGGAATCTGAAAGGAAGTGAAAAGAAACCTAACTAAATCAACTATAATCAAAGAATTTGAACAAGAGAAAAGTCCAGGGCTTGTGGTGGAGGAGAGGTCAAAGTTCAAAGAGGGCATGTGGCTGGGAAAAGAGGTTTGGGAAAACTAGGGCTGAATTGTCAGCTGCCTCCAGAGGTGGACAGGCTAGGCAGGGGAAAGGGTCAGTGCCCTTGGAGGGGTGATGTCAGGTGACTAGCCTCTGGTAATACTGAAGGATCACACATGGTCTTGCTGCCCAAGAGGGCATTTCCTAGCTTACTACCTTCTGTTGAAGCTGCGAGTTGTTGCCCAGGGCTGAGTTCCTACTGCAGGGGTGAATGAACTCAGCACCCTCAGCCTAATATGCTGCATCCTGGCCAATGAATAATACCCTCTGCTGCTGGCCTCACAGTTCAGAATGATCTGAGAATTCTGCTGGATCCTCCTCAGGTATTTTCTCCTCCAGCTCGGATGCTGTGAACACCCAGCACTGGAGAACACTAGGGACATCCCGGCCTTAGACCTTCTCCCACAGGGGGGCTACTGTGAGCATCCCATCTCCGCCATCATCCCCTGCTGGGGTTCGGCTGGAGCTTGGCTCACCCTTCAGGTGTGGGCTTAGCTCAACACCATCAACTTGTCCTGGAAGATTTGGGACTGCCCTGACTCTCCAGCAGTGGTGGTATAAGCTCAATGGCCACAGGACATCTGGCAGGATGCTGGCTAGTGGCAATCTCACCGTGCAGGGATACAGTGATCTCAGAGTCTCCTTGGCCACCTGCAGAATGTTGGGTATTTTGTGGATGATCATAGGAGAGAGATGATCCTGGTGTCTCGTCTCGGCATGTGAAGTCTGCTTGTGATGAATTGGATACATGGCAGGACTCTGGTCCTGTCCAGTGAGATGCAGTGGTGCCCAGCTTTAGTGGTGGAGAAGGAGCTGGAGATCAATGGAGAAGCCATCAGCCACAAGCCACACTGCCCCATGCCTTTGCCAACAGACTACATGCCAGAGCCCTGAACAAAGACCAGTCCGGGATAGTAACCCTCAGGAATTTGCCCCCTAAGTCCAGCAGCTTGATGTCCTAGTTTAGAGTGCTCCTAGACCAAACCCTTCCCGCGTGGCCACCTCCCAGTGGAGATATGGACCTCCACCTCCTAGAGGAGTCTCGGCACGACCATGGGCTACTCACCCTCAGGAAATTCCTCCATTGGCTTCAGGTCTTTTGCCCTGCACTTGTGTACAAGCTCCATACATGAAACTTGCGCCTGGAGTTAGCTCAGGTTTTGGGCCTGCAACGGATCGTGCTCAATGGGCTGGGAGGCGAGTAGGGGAAATCCTCTTCCTCAGACTCTTCATCTTCCAGGTTCCAGGGTACCTCCTAGGAGAAAACAGAAACACCTGCAGGGTGGCATATAACTGGGACAAGAGGGGGCGATTGTGGCTTTTGGGTCCCATAGCACTGGGAGTTACCATGACCCACAACCTGGGAGGAACATACTCTTCTACAGGAGCACATACATGATGTCACTCACATAGGAACCCAAGCACACACATTCACACACACTCACACACTCACTCAAGCACACACAGAGTCCTAGGGGGGCCAGGGAGCATTAGAGTGGTGACCTGGTATGTCCTCTCCCTGTGAACCCCTGCTTACCGCTGGGGCAACGCTGGCTCCTGGCCTTCCAAGTCTGAACAGACTCCTCATGCCTTTTACCAGCGTCTGAAAGAGGTTCCCTCGCCTTTTCCTGGGGTCTGGAGACCTCGGCATGCAGCAAAACATCTTTGCAGCTCCTGGTTCTCCCTGAAAGTGAACTGGGTCGATTTTTGTTTAGAACCTGGCTACCGGGATTCTGGGTTCTGAGTATTGTGCTGTGTCATCTCAGGGAAGTGATGTCACACCCTGGGATTCCCTTACCTGTGACTCCTTCAGAGAAGACCCTCCCCCCTTTGGCTGCTTGTGTCCCTTCCTGTGCCTGTCCATCCACACCACAGACACCAGTACAACTTCCCAAAGCCCTTGGATGGCTCCATGTAGCCATGGCCTTAGGAGGGGACGCAAATTTCTGACTGCTAAACCGGCTGGTTGTTCTCCTGCCTAGGACAAGACCTTGGAGCTTCCTTTGCCTCCAGGTTCCTTTTTCCCATTGGCCCAGTAGGGCAATGTAGCACCTCTCCTAAGGAGGAGCACAGGGCTGGGCCCGGCCTCCCTTCTGTTTAGGTAGGGGAGGCTGTTGTCCTTTGGGTTCGGGCTAATGTTGGCCTTGATAGGCCCATTCCAGAGGAGGTCATCTCAAGACACCAACCAAGATCTACTGCCTCTGCTGTGGGCAAGTCATCTTCCTTCTGTGTGCTTGTCCTCCTGGGGGAATAGAAAATTTCTCAATTCATCCCACTGTCCTAAGGCCATAACTTTGTTGACCCCGAATGGGCCAGATTCAAGTTCCAGGCCCACAGACAGGGCACGTGTGCTGGATCACTGAGGTGTCCAGGCTCCCTTCTTGCTCAAGTACCTGCTGAACACACTCTGTGGAACTGGGATTGGTTTCTTATTGGGATTAGACCCCAGAGTTGGGCATCCACTCCAGAGCAAATCACATTAGGTCGGCTGCGGCAGCCCCTGCCGCTGAACGCCAGTGACCTTACTGGAAAGAGGGAGGCTTTCACTCACACACATAGTACATCCGAGTGAATAAGACCCCCTTCCCCTGTGCGTTAGACTGGACAGTCAGTGAAGGGTTAGATCGGGGGCAAACTAGAGAAGGCACTGGCTAGCCACATGTCTGCGACTCCTGATGTCCTAAGACAGGTGCAGTCCCTGAGGGGCTTCATTATAATAATCTTTGGCCTTTAAATCAGACAAATGGCTAAAGGCCTGTAAGCCTAATCCAGGCATTAAGCCCGCAGTAAAAAAACCCCTTCTTTTGGCTGAGAACATGACTGCTGCCAGATGGAGTCACCAACAAAGCGGTTTAACTATTAACCAGTTGGTCATTGTTCCTGCATAAGAAGTAACATAGCAACCAGTTGATTATTATACTATTTTCTTACCTATTATAGTTTTTCTATATATGTGTAAAATCAGTTTCAGGAAACGCATGATGAAGAAAATAGTGTGGGGTAAAAGTAGTCTCGGAATAATCATAATGCTTCTCACATGAGTCAAAACCACAAAAATTAAATGCTTACGTAGAAAAAACATTGATCGTGATCACTGAAAGTAAAATATAACAGTAGTTAAATATTAATACTTTCTGAATATTAATATATTAATATCTAGTATTGGGAAAGAAAAAAGAAAAACTAACTTAAGAAATGCTGTTCTGTATAATCAAAAATAATTGTGTAGAAATAGATTCCTGTAATCAGAACCTTGCGATTGTTTACCGTTCCATGGCATGGAACATCGATCACATGTACCTGAATGATAAAGTAAATGTCTTTTGCATGACTAAACATCTCATGCTGAGAAAAAATTAACTTGTATGAAATCATCCATTGTTTAAAAAAGGTATAAAAGTGTATGATGATTTTGAGCACATTACATTCAGATCTTCACTCTTGAAGTGTGTCTGTCATTTCTGCGCCGAATCCTTGACCGCCTGGCTCAGACTCTCATGCCTGGGTCAGCCTTGCTAATCTGCCACTGCGCCGGTTGGTGGCACCGGCCAATTTCAAACCTTCCCTGTACTCAGTCCTCACCAACTTTGTCTTCCTTTTGCTGTCTAACTCTGATTGACTCTCTCCATTTCTTTCGGCCCCTGTCTCCCTCTGCCTCTCTGTATGTACCCCTCTTGCCCTGAGGTCTCCCCCTGTGTTCCTCTCTCTGATCCCTTGCAGGGCTAGCATGCTCAGCATCCCTCATCTGCTCACACAGGCCGTGGGACCTGCAGAGTCATGGTGAAAACAGGTCAGAGATGCCATCGATGCTTGGCTGGGTGGGTGGAGTGTGGGAGAGGAGCAGGCTGGGGGGAGAGTGTGGTTGAGTGGAAAGACATGTGCACTAGGTTACCCAGTAAGGGCAGAGAGAGTGATGCAGCAGATGAGTGGTGTTGGTTTTGAATCCTGAATTGGGGAGAGTAGTTCAGCCTGTCTCCAGGGTGGTGGAGGGCTCAGGGAAATGATCTGGAGGGCCAGAAAACATCAAGAGGGTGCACCGCCTGGGCACTGGGAGTAGCCCCCTGAATTGGGTCAGGAAGAGTCATCAAAGGTTGTATTCACGGATCCTCTGTCTCAACACATGGTGTCAGGATATGGTAAGGCCAGAAGCTGAACAGAATGCCTGATGGGAGCTCCAGGATTGCTGTGTGCTGTGGCTATGCATTCTGCAGCCCAGAGGCAGTCCTCCAGAGCTGCTGAACTAGATCAGTTCAGGAGGAGCCTCTGTGCGGTTGAGCCTCTGTGTGGTTGAAGATTTTAGACTCTGCACCAGATCTGCCCGTAATGCGCCATCGCTTTTGAGTATTAACCTAAGGAACTTGCCATTGTGCAGGCCCAGATTAGTTGATTATCTGCGGCAATCTACCATTTCCCAAGGTTTACCTCATGATATATAAGCTAAATCAAGCAATCTGTTCTTTGACAATGATCACACACGTTCTAATGATTTATAACTTCATGGACAATAATCTATTTGATGACATTGCAGAGCTTGACATCCTATCACATGTCTCTCTCCTTGGTAATCTAATCTTGCAAAATACACATTCTTGTATAGACATGAGTTCGTGAAATGGACCATTGTACATGCTGATATACTTTCTTGATTATATAGAGTGCAATGCTATAAAGTTGATGTGGCAGCTATTGCTCATCCAGTGTATTCCTAAAATTCACAGAGATCTCAAATTTACTTATCCAATGTGTACTAATTCTATTGTGTAGTTGGGGAGATCCTTAAGTTACCACTTGGTTCCATCCCAAAGTACTGCTCTGCAGAATTAGGAACACAGATGGCAGGCTGGTGAGGTGAACAGGGCCTGAGGAATGGGGCAGTGGGTGAATTATCTGGTGGATATCCACTAGGGAGTTGATCTTTTGTGCAAGTCAGTAGTGGGAAGGAGGCCAGTGCTGTGAAGAGACTGGACGCCAAAGGAGTGGACAACTTGAGTTAAGTCAACACAAAATTTATTAACATTCATATATACAATGAAAACAAGGAATCTGAAAGGAAGTGAAAAGAAACCTAAACTTAAATCAACTATAATCAAAGAATTTGAACAAGAGAAAAGTCCAGGGCTTGTGGTGGAGGAGAGGTCAACGTTCAAAGAAGGCATGTGGCTGGGAAAAGAGGTTTGGGAAAACTAGTGCTGAATTGCCAGCTGTCCCCAGAGGTGGACAGGCTAGGCAGGGGAAAGGGTCAGTGCCCTTGGAGGGGTGATATCAGGTGACCAGCCTATGGTCAGGGTGCAGTATCACACAGGGTCTTGCTGCCCGAGAGGGCATTTCTAGCTTACTACCTTCTGTTGAAGCTGCGAGTTGTTGCCCAGGGCTGAGTTCCTACTGCAGGGGTGAATGAACTCAGCACCCTCAGCCTAAGGTGCTGCATCCTGGCCAATAATAATACCCTCTGCAGCTGGCCTCACAGTTCAGAATCATCTGAGAATTCTGCTGGATCCTCCTCATGTATTTTCTCCTCCAGCTCGGATGCTGTGAACACCCAGCACTGGTGAACCCCAGGGACATCCCGGCCTTGGACCTCCTCCCAAAGGGGGGCTACTGTGAGCATCCCATCTCCGCCATCATCCCCTGCTGGGGTTCGGCTGGAGCTTGGCTCACCCTTCAGGTGTGGTCTAAGCTCAACACTATCAACTTGTCCTGGAAGATTTGGGACTGGGCCTGACACTTCCAGCAGTGGTGGTATAAGCTCAATGGCCAGAGGACATCTGGCAGGATGCGGGCTAGGCAATCTCACTGTGCAGGAAAACAGTGATCTCAGAGTCTCCTTGGCCACCTGCAAAATGCTGGGTATTTTGTGGATGATCATAGGAGAGAGATGATCCTGGTGTCTCGTCTAGGCATGTGAAGTCGGCTTGTGATGAATTGGATACTTGGCAGGACTCTTGTCCTGTCCAGTGAGATGCAGTGGTGCCCAGCTTTAGTGGTGGAGAAGGAGCTGGAGATCAATGGAGAGGCCATCAGCCACAAGCCATACTGTCCCATGCCTTTGCCAACAGACTACATGCCAGAGCCCTGAACAAAGACCAGTCCAGGATAGTAACCCTCAGGAATTTGCCCCCTAAGTCCAGGAGCTTGATGTCCTAGTTTAGACTGCTCCTAGACCAAACCCTTCCCGAGTGGGCACCTCCCAGGGGAGATATGGACCTCCACCTCCTAGAGGAGTCTCGGCTCGACCATGGGCCACTCACCCTCAGGAAATTCCTCCATTGGCTTCAGGTCTTTTGCCCTGCACTTGTGTACAATCTCTATACACTGAAACTTGCGCCTGGTGTTAGCGCAGGTTTTGGGCTGCAATGGATCGTGCTAGGTGGGGTGGGAGGCAAGTAGGGGAAATCCTCTTCTTTGGACTCTTCATCATCCAGGTTCCACGGTACCTCCTAGGAGAAAACAGAAACACCTGCAGGGTGGCATGTAAGTGGGACAAGAAGGGGCGATTGTGGCTTTTGTGTCCCATAGCACTGGGAGTTACCATGACCCACAACCTGGGAGGAACATACCCTTCTCAAGGAGCACATACATGATGTCACTCACATTGGAACCCAAGCACACACACTCACACACACTCGCACACTCACACAAGCACACACAGAGTCCTAGGGGGGGCCAGGGAGCATTAAAGTGGTGTCCTGGTATGTCCTCTCCCAGAGACCCCCTGCTTACCACTGGGGCAACGCTGGCTCCTGGCCTGTCAAGTCTGAACAGACTCCTGATGCCTTTCACCAGCGTCTGAAATAGGTTCCTGGGCCTTTTTCTGGGGTCTGTTGACCTCGGCATGCAGCAAAACATCTTTGCTGCACCTGTTTCTCCCTGAAAGTGAACTGGGTCGATTTGTGTTTGGAACCTGGCTACCGGGATTCCGTGTTCTGAGTTCCTTGCCATGTCATCTCAGGAAAGTGATGTCACATAAGCTAAATCAAGTAATCTTTATTTCCACAATGATCTCATACGTTCTCATAATGATACATAATGTCACAGACAATAATCCGCTCATTGAAATTGCAGAGGTTGACATCCTGTCCCATTACTCTCTTTTTAGTAGTATAATCCTGCAGAATACACAATCTTGTATAGACATGAGTTTGCGAAATGGACCATTGTGTACGCTGATATACTTTCTTGAGTCTACAGAGTGTAATGATACAAGCCTTATTTGACAGCTGTTGCTCTTTTACCACAATCCAGTGTACTCCTAAAATACAAATAGATCCTACATTTACTTATACAATGTGTACTATCTCTATTGTGTACTTGGGCAGATCCTAAAGTCACCACTTTCTTCGCTGCTTAACTAGGAAGCACCGGGCAGTATTAGGAACAGAGACAGCAGGTAGGTGCAGGGATCAGGGGCTCAGGCGCTGTGCAGTGAGTGAATTATTTGTTGGATTTTCATCAGGGAGGTGATCTTTTCTACAAGTGGATAGTACAAAGGAGGTCAGTGTTGTAAGGGCCTGGACACCAAAGGAGTGGACCACATGGGTGAGTCAAAGGAATTTTATTAACATTTATTTACACAATGAACAAAGATATCTGAGAGGAATTGAAACGAACACTAAACTTAAAATCACTCAATCACAGATTTTGAACTAGAAGAGTTGGACCCAATGCTTGGTGTGGAAGCAATGTTGAAGTTAATGAGCTCATGTCGCTGGGGAGGTAGGCGAAGAAAGGTTTTAGGCACTGGTATAGAGTCCTCAGCTGTCCCCAGTGGTGGAAAGAATGGACTGTGGCCAGGGTCTGTGTCCCTTGTGCAGTGGTGTTTGGTGAGCAACCTCTGGTTGTGCTGCAGGGTCCCCAGAGGGTCTGGTTGCCCAGGCAAGGCATTTCTTAGCTTAGTACTGTCAGTTTAACCTGTGGGTGTTGTCCAGGGCTGGGTTCTTTCTACAGAGGTGGTTTGATCTCAGTCCCCTCAGCACGGGGCATTGCATCCTGGTCAGTGTGTGGCTACCACTCTAGCAGCTGTATCAGCTCAGAATCCTCTAGGAATTCTACTGGATCCTGCTCTTCTACTGTCTTCCCTAGCTCGGGGGTGTGAACAACCAGCCCTGGGATCCCTTAGGGCATCTGGACCTAGAGAGCCTTCTCCCTGAAGGGTATTAGTATGAACACAGCACAGCCAGCATCCCCTTTGGGGGCCTTGTGGGGCCTGGCTCCTCCTGCAGGTGTGGACTTGGCTCAGCACCATCAGGTTGTCCTGGAAGATCGTGGTCTGGGCCAGACTCCTCTAGCAGGGAGGGTGTGAGCTCATCTCATCAGGTTGTACTGTAGGTTTCCTGTTTAGGCCTGACTCCCACAGAATGGGTGGTATTTGCTCAGTGCCTAAGGGACATCCTGTGGGATCCTGGTGAGTGGCAAGCTGACCCTGCAGGAGTACAGTGGGCTCAGAGTCCCCACGAGAACCTTCAGGATCCTGGGTATTATCTGACTGTTCCTCTGGAACAGCATAGATGGGAGATGATCCTTGAGTCCCTTCTGCACATGTGGAATCTGCTTGTGTAGGATCAGCTACTTGGATGCACTTCTGGCCTGCCTGAGGAGTTGCAAGGAAAGACAGCTGTACTCATTGAGAAGGAGCTAGAGATTCAACAGGAGAAGCCATCAGTCATACGCCAGACTGCCCCATGCCTTGGCCAACAGACCACATGACAGAGCCCCGAGCTAAGACCAGCCTGGGTTAGTGGTCATCAAGATATCCCCCCCTAAGTCCAGTCCAGCAGCATGAGGTGATAGTTCAGACTGCTCTTAGTCCAAACTCAGCCCGTTGGGTCTCCTCCCAGGTGGGATAGGTAAATCCACCTCCCAGTGGAGCCTTGGCATGCCATGGGCCACTTTCCATTGGAGGTTCCTTCATGGGGTCAGATAATTCACCTTGCACATACGCACAGGTGTCAGAAACTGAAACTTGTATGTATGTTGACACCCTGGCTGCCAGTTAACCAGGGATATGAGTTGTGTGCGGTGTCACCTTAGGGAAGTGATATCACCCCCAGTGGTCTCCATCCTTGGACTTCCTTCTCAGACAAGCCTCTTCCCCAGGCTTCTGCGCGATTCCTGTGCCCCTCGTGCCAGCACCAGTCCACACCACTGACACCAGCACGGCCTCCCAAAGCCTACATGCAGCCAGGGCCTCAGTTTCCTGGCTGCTGACCAGGCTGGTGGTTGTCCTGTCAGGGCAAGTCCCTGTAGCCTCCTTTGCCTCCAGGCTCCTGTCTCCCATGGGCCCAGTGGGGTCTTCTAGCACTTTTTCCTATGGAGGTCCATGGGGTTGGGCCCACTCTGGCTGCTGCCCTTGGAGGGGAGGCGGCCCTCACATGGGACTCAAATGAAAGCTGACATAGTGGAGACCACCCAAGTTAGGTCACCTGCAAATACCACACCCAGATTGACAGACTCTGCTTGAGCAAGTCATCTTCACCTGTGGGAATGTTCATTCACCCCTGCAGTAGGAACTCAGCCCTGGGCAACAACTCGCAGCTTCAACGGAAGGTAGTAAGCTAAGAAATGCCCTCTTGGGCAGCAAGACCCTGTGTGATCCTGCCGGCTGACCAGAACCTAGTCACCTGATATCAGCCCTCAAAGGGAACTGACCCTTTCCCCTGTCTAGCCTGTCCACCTCTGGGGACAGCTGACAATTCAAAACTAGTTTACCCAAACCTCTTTTCCCAGCCACACGCCCTCTTTGAACTTTGACCTGTCCTCCACAACAAGCCCTGGGCTGTTCTCTTGTTCAAATTCTTTGATTATAGTTGATTTAAGTTTAGGTTTCATTTCACTTCCTTTCAGATTCCTTGTTTTCATTGTATATATTAATGTTAATAAATTTTGTGTTGACTTAACTCAAGTTGTCCATTCCTTTGGCGTCCAGTCTCTTCACAGCAGTGGCCTCCTTCTCACTATTGACTTGCAGAAAAGATCACCTCCCTAGTGGATATCCACCAGATAATTCACCCACTGCCCAAGTCCTCAGGCCCTGTTCACCTCACCAGGCTGCCATCTGTGTTCCTAATTCTGCAGAGCAGTACTTAGGGATGGAACCAAGTGGTGACTTTAGGATCTGCCCAACAAAACAATAGAATTAGTACACATTGGATAAGTAAATTTGAGATCTCTGTGAATTTTAGGAATACACTGGATGAGCAATAGCTGCCACATCAACTTTATATCATGAAAGTATATCAGCATGTACAATGGTCCATTTCATGAACTCATGTCTATACAAGAATGTGTATTTTGCAAGATTAGATTACCAAGGAGAGAGACATGTGATAGGATGTCAAGCTCTGCAATTTCATCAAATAGATTATTGTCCATGAAGTTATAAATCATTAGAACGTGTGTGATCATTGTCAAAGAACAGATTGCTTGATTTAGCTTATATATCATGAGGTAAACCTTGGGAAATGGTAGATTGCCGCAGATAATCAACTAATTTGGGCCTGCACAATGGCAAGTTCCATAGGTTAATACTCAAAAGCGATGGCACATTATGGGCAGATCTGGTGCAGAGTCCAAAATCTTCAGGCCAACCATACAGAGGCTCCTACTGAACTGATCTAGTTCAGCAGCCCTCAGGACTGCCACTGGGCTGCAGAATGCATAGCCACAGCACACAGCAATCCTGGAGCTCCCATCAGGCATTCTGTTCAGCTTCTGGGCCTTACCATATCTTGACACCATGTGTTGAGACAGAGGATCCGTGAATACAACCTTTGATGACTCTTCCTGACCAAATTTAGGGGGCTACTCCCAGTGCCCAGGCGGTGCACCCTCTTGATGGTTTCTGGCACTCCAGATCATTTCCCTGAGCCCTCCACCACCTTGGAAACAAGCTGGGCTACTCTCCCCAAATTAGGATTCAATAAGAAACACCACCCATCTGCTGAATCACTCTCTCTGCCCTTACTGGGTAACCTAGTGCACATGTCTTTCCACTGAACCACACTCTCCCTCCAGCCTGCTCCTCAACCACACTCCACCCCACCAGCCAAGCATCGATTTCATCTCTGACCTGTTTTCACCATGACTCTGCAGGTCCCAGGGCCTATTTGAGCAGATGAGGGATGCTGAGCATGCGTAGCCCTGCAAGGGATCAGAGAGAGGAACACAGGGGGAGACCTCAGGGCAAAAGGGGTACATACAGAGAGGCAGAGGGAGACAGGGGCAGAAAGAGCAGGAGAGAGTGAATCAGAGTTAGACAAGAAAAGGAAGAGAAGGTTGGTGAGGACTGAGTACAGGGAAGGCTTGAAAATGGCCGACCTGATGTGATTTGCTCTGGAGTGGATGCCCAACTCTGGGGTCTAATCCTAATAAGAAACCAATCCCAGTTCCACAGAGTATGGTCAGCTGGTACTTGAGCAAGGAGGGAGCCTGGATACCTCATTGATCCAGCACATGTGCTCAGACTGTGGGCCTGGAACTTGATTCTGGCCCATTCGGTGTCAACAAAGTTGTAGCCTTAGCACAGTGGGGTGAATTGAGATATTTTCTAATCCCCCAGGAGGACAAGCACACAGAAGGAAGATGACTCACCCACAGCAGAGGCAGTAGATCTGAGTTGGTGTGTTGAGGTGACCTAAATGGAATGGGCCTATTCAGGCCAACGTTAGCCCGAGTCCAAGGACAACAGCCTCCCCTACAAGAAACACCAGAGAGGCATGGGCCCAGCCCTGTGCACCTCCTTAGGAGAGGCGCTACAGTGCCCTATTGTGCCAATGGGAAAAAGGGGCCTGGAGGCAAAGGAAACTCCAAGGTCTTGTCCTTGGCAGGAGAAGGGCTGTGGGAGGTCGTGCTGGTGTACCTGGTGTGGATGGACAGGCACAGGTAGTGACCCAAGCAGCCAAAAGGTGAGGGGCTTCTCTGAAGGAGTCACAGGTAAGAGAATCCCAGGGTGTGACATCACTTCCCTGAGATGACACAGCACAAAACTCAGATCAAGGTATCCCGGTAGCCAGGTTCTACAGACAAATCGTCCCAGTTCACTTTCAGGGAGAACCAGGAGCAGCAAAGATGTTTTGCTGCATGCCGAGGTCTCCAGACCCCAGGAAAAGGCACAGGAACCTCTTTCAGATGCTGCTGAAAGGCATCAGGAGTCTGTTCAGATTTGGCAGGCCAGGAGCCAGCATTGCCCCAGCGGTAAGCAGGGGGTCCCTGGGAGAGGACATACCAGGTCACAACTCTAATGCTCCCTGGCCCCCCTAGGACTCTGTGTGTGCTTGTGTGAGTGTGTGAGTGTGTGTGAGTGTGTGTGCACAGGTTCCTATGTGAGTGACATCATGTATGTGCTCCTGGGAAAGGGTATGTTCCTCCCAGGTTGTGCGTCATGGTAACTCCCAGTGCAATGGGACCCAAAAGCCAAAATAGCCCCCTCTTGTCCCAGTTACATGCCACCCTGCAGGTGTTTCTGTTTTCTCCTTAGAGGTACCCTGGAACCTGGAAGATGAAGAGTCCCAGGAAGAGGATTTCCCCTACTCGCCTCCCAAATCAGAGAGCACGATCGGTTGCAGGCCGAAAACCAGCGCTAACACCACGCTCAAGTTTCAGTGTATGGAGCTTGTACACAAGTGCAGGGCAAAAGACCTGAAGCCAATGGAGGAATTTCCTGAGGGTGAGTGGCCCATGGTCGTGCCGAGACTCCTCTAGGAGGTGGAGGTCCATATCTCCCCTGGGAGGTGGCCACGCGGGAAGGGTTTGGTCTAGGAGCAGTCTAAACTAAGACATCAAGCTGCTGGACTTAGGGGGCAAATTCCTGAGGGTTACTATCCCGGACTGGTCTTTGTTCAGGGCTCTGGCATGTAGTCTGTTGGCAAAGGCATGGGGCAGTATGGCTTGTGGCTGACGGCTTCTCCATTGATCTCCAGCTCCTTCTCCACCACTAAAGCTGGGCACCACTGCATCTCACTGGACAGGACAGGAGTCCTGCCAAGTATCCAATTCACCACAAGCCGACTTCACATGCATAGACGCGACACGAGGATCATCACTCGCCTATGATCATCCACAAAATACCCAGCATTTTGCAGGTGGCCAAGGAGACTGTGAGATCACTGTATCCCTGCACGGTGAGATTGCCACTAGCCAGCATCCTGCCAGATGTCCTCTGGCCATTGAGCTTATACCACCACTGCTGGGAGAGTCAGGCCCACTCCCAAATCTTCCAGGACAAGTGGATAGTGTTGAGCTTAGCCCACACATGAAGGGTGAGCCAAGCTCCAGCCCAACCCCAACAGGGGATGATGGCGGAGATTGGATGCTCACAGAAGCCCCCCGGTGGGAGAAGGTCCAAGGCTGGGTTGTCCCTAGGGTTCGCCAGTGCTGGGTGTTCACACCATCTGAGCTGGAGGAGGAAATACCTGAGGATCTAGCAGAATTCTCAGATGATTCTGAACTGTGAGGCCAGCAGCAGAGGGTATTATTCATTGGCCAGGATGCAGCACCTTAGGCTGAGGGTGCTGAGTTCATTCACTCCTGTAGTAGGAACTCAGCCCTGGGCAACAACTCGCAGCTTCAACAGAAGGTAGTAAGCTAAGAAATGCCCCCTTGGGCAGCAAGACACTGTGTGATCCTGCCGGCTGACCAGAACCTAGTCACCTGATATCAGCCCTCAAAGGGAACTGACACTTTTCCCTGCCTAGCCTGTCCACATCTGGAGGTAGCGCAAAATTCAGCCCTAGTTTTCCCAAACCTCTTTTCCCAGCCACATGCCCTCTTTGAACTTTGACCTCTCCTCCACCACAAGCCCTGTACTTTTCTCTTGTTCAAAATCATTGTTTATCTTAGATTTAAGTATAGGTTTCATTTCACTTCCTTTCAGATTCCTTGTTTTCATTGTATATATTAATATTAATAAATTTTGTGTAGGCTTAAATCAAGTTGTCCACTCCTTTGGCATCCAATCTCTTCACAGCACTGGCCTCCTTCTCACTATTGACTTGCACAAAAGATCACCTCCCCAGTGGATTTCAACCAGATAATTCACCCACTGCCCAGGTCCTCAGGCCCTGTTCACCTCACCAGCCTGCCATCTATGTTCCTAACTGCAGAGCAGTTCTTATGGATGGAACCAAGTGGTGACTTTAGGATCTGCCCAACTACGCAATACAATTAGTACACATTGGATAAGTAAATTTGAGATCTCTGTGAATTTTAGGAATACACTGGATGACCGATAGCTGCCACATCATATTTATATCATTGCACTCTATATAATCAAGAAAGTATATCAGCATGTACAATGGTCCATTTCACGAACTCATGTCTATACAAGAATGTGTATTTTGCAAGATTATATTACAAAGGAGAGAGAGATGTGATAGGATGTTAAGCTCTGCAATGTCATCAATTATTTATTGTCTGTGAGGTTATATATCATTAGAACATGTGTGATTATTGTCAAAGAAGAGATTGCTTGATTTAGCTTATGAATCATGAGGTAAACCTTGGGAAATGGTAGATTGCAGCAGATAGTTAAGTAATTATGGACTGCACAATGGCAAGTTTCTTAGGTTAATACTCAAAAGCCATGGCACATCTGCATCACAGATCTGGTGCAGAGGGCAAAATCTTCAGGCCCAACCTCACAGAGGCTCCTCCAGAGGTGATCTAGTTCAGCAGCCCTCAGGACTGCCTCTGGGCTGCAGAATGCATAGCCACAGCACACAGCAATCCTGGAGCTCCCATCAGGCATTCTGTTCAGCTTCTGGCCTTACCATATCTGGACACCATGTGTTGAGACAGAGGATCCGTGAATACAACCTTTGATGACTCTTCCTGACCCAATTCAGGGGGCTACTCCCAGTGCCCAGGCGGTGCACCCTCTTGATGTTTTCTGGCCCTCCAGATCATTTCCCTGAGCCCTCCACCACCCTGGAGACAGGCTGAACTACTCTCCCCAATTCAGGATTCAAAACCAACACCACTCATCTGCTGCATCACTCTCTCTGCCCTTACTGGGTAACCTAGTGCACATGTCTTTCCACTCAACCACACTCTCCCCCCAGCCTGCTCCTCTCCCACACTCCACCCACCCAGCCAAGCATCGATGGCATCTCTGACCTGTTTTCACCATGACTCTGCAGGTCCCACGGCCTGTGTGAGCAGATGAGGGATGCTGAGCATGCCTAGACCTCCAAGGGATCAGAGAGAGAGGAACACAGGGGGAGACCTCAGGGCAAGAGGGGTACATACAGAGAGGGAGAGGGAAACAGGGGCAGAAAGAGAGGGAGAGAGTGAATCAGAGTTAGACAGCAAAAGGAAGAGAAGGTTGGTGAGGACTGAGTACAGGGAAGGTTGAAAATGGCCGATGTGATGTGATTTGCTCTGGAGTGGATGCCCTACTCTGGGGTCTAATCCCAATAAGAAACCAATCCCCGTTGCACAGAATTATGGTCAGCAGGTACTTGAGCAAGGAGGGAGCCTGGACACATCAGTGATCCAGCACAAGTGCCCTGTCTGTCGGCCTGGAACTTGATTCTGGCCCATACGGGATCATGAAGGTTGTGGCCTTAGCACAGTGGGGTGAATTGTGATATTTTCTACTCCCCCAGGAGGACAAGCACACAGAAGGAAGATGACTTGCCCACAGCAGAGGCAGTAGCTCTGGGTTGGTGTGTTGTGGTGACCCCCTCTGGAATGGGCCTATCCAGGCCAACATTAGCCGGAGTCCCAAAGGACAACAGCCTCCCCTACAAGAAACAGCAGGGAGGCTTGGGCCACGCCCTGTGCACCTCCTTAGGAGAGGTGCTACATTGCCCTACTGGGCCAATGGGAAAAAGGGACCTGGAGGCAAAGGAAGCTCCAAGGTCTTGTCCTAGGCAGGAGAACAACCAGCCGGTTCATCAGCCAGAAACCTGCATCCCCTCCTGAGGCCCTGGCTACATGGAGCCATCCAAGGGCTTTGGGAGGTCGTGCTGGTGTCTGTGGTGTGGATGGACAGGCACAGGAAGGGACCCAAGCAGCCAAAGGGGGGAGGGGCTTCTCTGAAGGAGTCCCAGGTAAGGGAGTCTCAGGGTGTGACATCACTTTCCTGATTGACACAGCACAATACTCAGAACCCAGTATCCCGGTAGCCAGGTTCTAAACAAAAATCGACCCAGTTCACTTTCAGGGAGAACCAGGAGCGGCAAAGATGTTTTCTTGCATGCCGAGGTCTCCCGACAAAAGTAAAAGGCGCAGGAACCTCTTTCAGACGCTGGTGCAAGGCATCAGGAGACTACTCAGATTTGGCAGGCCAGGAGCCAGCGTTGCCCCAGCGGTAAGCAGGGGTTCACTGGGAGAGGACATACCAGGTCACCACTCTAATGCTCCCTGGCCCCCCTAGGACTCTGTGTGTGCTTGAGTGAGTGTGAGAGTGTGTGAGTGTGTGTGCACGGGTTCCTATGTGAGTGACATCATGTATGTGCTCCTGGAGAAGGGTACGTTCCTCCCAGGTGGTGCGTCATGGTAACTCCCAGTGCTATGGGACCCAAAAGCCACAATCACCCCCTGTTGTCCCAGTACATGCCGCCATGCAGGTGTTTCTGTTTTCTCCTTGGAGGTACCCTCCAACCTGGAAGATGAAGAGTCCGAGGAAGAGGATTTCCCCTACTCGCCTCCCAGCCCACTGAGCACAATCCGTTGCAGGCCCAAAACCTGCGCTAACACCAGGCGCAAGTTTCAGTTTATGGAGCTTGTACACAAGTGCAGGGCAAAAGACCTGAAGCCAATGGAGGAATTTCCTGAGGGTGAGTGGCCCATGGTCGTGCCGAGACTCCTCTAGGAGGTGGAGGTCCATATCTCCCCTGGCAGGTGCCCACGCGGGAAGGGTTTGGTCTAGGAGCACTCTGAACTAGGACATCGAGCTGACGGACTTAGGGGGCAAATGCCTGAGGGTTACTATCCCGGACTGGTCTTTGTTCAGGGCTCTGGCAAGTAGTCTGTTGGCAAAGGCACGGGGCAGTATGGCTTGTGGCTGATGGCCTCTCCATTGATCTCCAGCTCCTTCTCCACCACTAAACCTGGAAGATGAGGAATCCGAAGAAGAGGATTTCCCCTACTCGCCTCCCAGCCCATTGAGCGCGATCCGTTGCAGGCCTAAAACCTGCGCTAACACCAGGCGCAAGTTTCAATGTATGGAGCTTGTACACAAGTGCAGGGCAAAAGACCTGAAGCCAATGGCGGAATTTCCTGAGGGTGAGTGGCCCATGGTCGTGCCGAGACTCCTCTAGGAGGTGGAGGTCCATATCTCCCCTGGCAGGTGCCCACGCGGGAAGGGTTTGGTCTAGGAGCACTCTGAACTAGGACATCGAGCTGATGGACTTAGGGGGCAAATTCCTGAGGGTTACTATCCCGGACTGGTCTTTGTTCAGGGCTCCGGCATGTAGTCTGTTGGCAAAGGCATGGGGCAGTGTGGCTTGTGGCTGATGGCCTCTCCATTGATCTCCAGCTCCTTCTCCACCACTAAAGCTGGGCACCACTGCATCTCACTGGACAGGACCAGAGTCCTGCCATGTATCCAAATCATCACAAGCGGACTTCACATGCCGAGAGGAGACACCAGGATCATCTCTCTCCTATGATCATCCACAAAATACCCAGCATTCTGCAGGTGGCCAAGGAGACTCTGAGATCTCTGTATCCCTGCACGGTGAGATTGCCACTAGCCAGCATCCTGCCAGATGTCCTCTGGCCATTGCGCTTCTACCACCACTGCTGGGAGAGTCAGGCCCACTCCCAAATCTTCCAGGACAAGTTGATAGTGTTGAGCTTAGCCCACACCTGAAGGGTGAGCCAAGCTCCAGCCCAACCCCAACAGGGGATGATGGCGGAGATGGGATGCTCACAGTAGCCCCCCTGTGGGAGAAGGTCCAAGGCCGGGATGTCCCTAGGGTTCGCCAGTGCTGGGTGGACACAGCATCTGAACTGGAGGAGGAAATACCTGAGGAGGATCTAGCAGAATTCTCAGATGATTCTGACCTGTGAGGCCAGCAGCAGAGGGTATTATTCATTGGCGAGGATGCAGCACCTTAGGCCTAGGATGCGGAGTTCATTCACCCCTGTAGTAGGAACTCAGCCTGGGCAACAAGTCACAGCTTCAACAGAAGGTAGTAAGCTCAGAAATGCCCTCTTGGGCAGCAAGACCCTGTGTGATCCTGCCGGCTGACCAGAACCTAGTCAGCTGATATCAGCCCTCAATGGGAACTGACCCTTTCCCCTGCCTAGCCTGTCCACCTCTGGGGGCAGCTGACAATTCAGCCCTAGTTTTCCCAAACCTCTTTTCCCAGCCACATGCCTTCTTTGAACTTTGACCTCTCCTCCACCACAAGCCCTGGACTTTTCTCTTATTCACATTCTTTGGTTATAGTTGATTTAAGGTTTGGTTTCATTTCACTTCCTTTCAGATTCCTTTTTTCATTGTATACATTTATGGTAATAAACTTTGTGTTGACTTAACTCAAGTTGTCCGCTCTTTGGTGTCCAGTCTCTTCACAGCACTGGCCTCCTTCTCACTATTGACTTGCACAAAAGATCACCTCCCTAGTGGATAGCCACCAGATAATTCACCCGCTGCCCAATCCTCTAGCCCTGTTCACCTCACCAGCCTGCCATCTGTGTTCCTAATTCTGCAGAGCAGTACTTAGGGATGGAACCAAGTGGTGACTTTAGGATCTCCCCAACTACACAATAGAATTAGTACACATCGTAAGTAAATTCGAGATCTATGTGAATTTTAGGAATACACTGGATGAGCAATAGCTGTCACATCAACTTTATATCATTGCACTCTATATAATCAAGAAAGTATATCAGCATGTACAATGGTCCATTTCACGAACTCATGTCTATACAAGAATGTGTATTTTGCAAGATTAGATTACCAAGGAGAGAGACATGTGATAGGATGTCAAGCTCTGCAACGTCATCAAATAGATTATTGTCTGTGAGGTTATATGTCATTAGAACATGTGTGATCATTGTCAAAGAACTGATTGCTTGGTTTATCTTATGAATCATGAGGTAAACCGTGGGAAATGGTAGATTGCAGCAGATTGTTAACTAATCTGGGCCTGCACAATGGCAACTTCCTTAGGTTAATACTCAACAGCGATGGCACATTATGGGCAGATCTGGTGCAGAGTGCAAAATCTTCAGGCCCAACCTCACAGAGGCTCCTCCAGAGGTGATCTAGTTCAGCAGCCCTCAGGACTGCCTCTGGGCTGCAGAATGCATAGCCACAGCACACAGCAATCCTGGAGCTCCCATCAGGCATTCTGTTCAGCTTCTGGCCTTACCATATCTGGACACCATGTGTTGAGACAGAGGATCCGTGAATACAACCTTTGATGACTCTTCCTGACCCAATTCAGGGGGCTACTCCCAGTGCCCAGGCGGTGCACCCTCTTGATGTTTTCTGGCCCTCCAGATCATTTCCCTGAGCCCTCCACCACCCTGGAGACAGGCTGAACTACTCTCCCCAATTCAGGATTCAAAACCAACACCACTCATCTGCTGCATCACTCTCTCTGCCCTTACTGGGTAACCTAGTGCACATGTCTTTCCACTCAACCACACTCTCCCCCCAGCCTGCTCCTCTCCCACACTCCACCCACCCAGCCAAGCATCGATGGCATCTCTGACCTGTTTTCACCATGACTCTGCAGGTCCCACGGCCTGTGTGAGCAGATGAGGGATGCTGAGCATGCCTAGACCTCCAAGGGATCAGAGAGAGAGGAACACAGGGGGAGACCTCAGGGCAAGAGGGGTACATACAGAGAGGGAGAGGGAAACAGGGGCAGAAAGAGAGGGAGAGAGTGAATCAGAGTTAGACAGCAAAAGGAAGAGAAGGTTGGTGAGGACTGAGTACAGGGAAGGTTGAAAATGGCCGATGTGATGTGATTTGCTCTGGAGTGGATGCCCTACTCTGGGGTCTAATCCCAATAAGAAACCAATCCCCGTTGCACAGAATTATGGTCAGCAGGTACTTGAGCAAGGAGGGAGCCTGGACACATCAGTGATCCAGCACAAGTGCCCTGTCTGTCGGCCTGGAACTTGATTCTGGCCCATACGGGATCATGAAGGTTGTGGCCTTAGCACAGTGGGGTGAATTGTGATATTTTCTACTCCCCCAGGAGGACAAGCACACAGAAGGAAGATGACTTGCCCACAGCAGAGGCAGTAGCTCTGGGTTGGTGTGTTGTGGTGACCCCCTCTGGAATGGGCCTATCCAGGCCAACATTAGCCGGAGTCCCAAAGGACAACAGCCTCCCCTACAAGAAACAGCAGGGAGGCTTGGGCCACGCCCTGTGCACCTCCTTAGGAGAGGTGCTACATTGCCCTACTGGGCCAATGGGAAAAAGGGACCTGGAGGCAAAGGAAGCTCCAAGGTCTTGTCCTAGGCAGGAGAACAACCAGCCGGTTCATCAGCCAGAAACCTGCATCCCCTCCTGAGGCCCTGGCTACATGGAGCCATCCAAGGGCTTTGGGAGGTCGTGCTGGTGTCTGTGGTGTGGATGGACAGGCACAGGAAGGGACCCAAGCAGCCAAAGGGGGGAGGGGCTTCTCTGAAGGAGTCCCAGGTAAGGGAGTCTCAGGGTGTGACATCACTTTCCTGATTGACACAGCACAATACTCAGAACCCAGTATCCCGGTAGCCAGGTTCTAAACAAAAATCGACCCAGTTCACTTTCAGGGAGAACCAGGAGCGGCAAAGATGTTTTCTTGCATGCCGAGGTCTCCCGACAAAAGTAAAAGGCGCAGGAACCTCTTTCAGACGCTGGTGCAAGGCATCAGGAGACTACTCAGATTTGGCAGGCCAGGAGCCAGCGTTGCCCCAGCGGTAAGCAGGGGTTCACTGGGAGAGGACATACCAGGTCACCACTCTAATGCTCCCTGGCCCCCCTAGGACTCTGTGTGTGCTTGAGTGAGTGTGAGAGTGTGTGAGTGTGTGTGCACGGGTTCCTATGTGAGTGACATCATGTATGTGCTCCTGGAGAAGGGTACGTTCCTCCCAGGTGGTGCGTCATGGTAACTCCCAGTGCTATGGGACCCAAAAGCCACAATCACCCCCTGTTGTCCCAGTACATGCCGCCATGCAGGTGTTTCTGTTTTCTCCTTGGAGGTACCCTCCAACCTGGAAGATGAAGAGTCCGAGGAAGAGGATTTCCCCTACTCGCCTCCCAGCCCACTGAGCACAATCCGTTGCAGGCCCAAAACCTGCGCTAACACCAGGCGCAAGTTTCAGTTTATGGAGCTTGTACACAAGTGCAGGGCAAAAGACCTGAAGCCAATGGAGGAATTTCCTGAGGGTGAGTGGCCCATGGTCGTGCCGAGACTCCTCTAGGAGGTGGAGGTCCATATCTCCCCTGGCAGGTGCCCACGCGGGAAGGGTTTGGTCTAGGAGCACTCTGAACTAGGACATCGAGCTGACGGACTTAGGGGGCAAATGCCTGAGGGTTACTATCCCGGACTGGTCTTTGTTCAGGGCTCTGGCAAGTAGTCTGTTGGCAAAGGCACGGGGCAGTATGGCTTGTGGCTGATGGCCTCTCCATTGATCTCCAGCTCCTTCTCCACCACTAAACCTGGAAGATGAGGAATCCGAAGAAGAGGATTTCCCCTACTCGCCTCCCAGCCCATTGAGCGCGATCCGTTGCAGGCCTAAAACCTGCGCTAACACCAGGCGCAAGTTTCAATGTATGGAGCTTGTACACAAGTGCAGGGCAAAAGACCTGAAGCCAATGGCGGAATTTCCTGAGGGTGAGTGGCCCATGGTCGTGCCGAGACTCCTCTAGGAGGTGGAGGTCCATATCTCCCCTGGCAGGTGCCCACGCGGGAAGGGTTTGGTCTAGGAGCACTCTGAACTAGGACATCGAGCTGATGGACTCAGGGGGCAAATTCCTGAGGGTTACTATCCCGGACTGGTCTTTGTTCAGGGCTCCGGCATGTAGTCTGTTGGCAAAGGCATGGGGCAGTGTGGCTTGTGGCTGATGGCCTCTCCATTGATCTCCAGCTCCTTCTCCACCACTAAAGCTGGGCACCACTGCATCTCACTGGACAGGACCAGAGTCCTGCCATGTATGCAAATCATCACAAGCGGACTTCACATGCCGAGAGGAGACACCTGGATCATCTCTCTCCTATGATCATCCACAAAATACCCAGCATTCTGCAGGTGGCCAAGGAGACTCTGAGATCTCTGTATCCCTGCACGGTGAGATTGCCACTAGCCAGCATCCTGCCAGATGTCCTCTGGCCATTGCGCTTCTACCACCACTGCTGGGAGAGTCAGGCCCACTCCCAAATCTTCCAGGACAAGTTGATAGTGTTGAGCTTAGCCCACACCTGAAGGGTGAGCCAAGCTCCAGCCCAACCCCAACAGGGGATGATGGCGGAGATGGGATGCTCACAGTAGCCCCCCTGTGGGAGAAGGTCCAAGGCCGGGATGTCCCTAGGGTTCGCCAGTGCTGGGTGGACACAGCATCTGAACTGGAGGAGGAAATACCTGAGGAGGATCTAGCAGAATTCTCAGATGATTCTGACCTGTGAGGCCAGCAGCAGAGGGTATTATTCATTGGCGAGGATGCAGCACCTTAGGCCTAGGATGCGGAGTTCATTCACCCCTGTAGTAGGAACTCAGCCTGGGCAACAAGTCACAGCTTCAACAGAAGGTAGTAAGCTCAGAAATGCCCTCTTGGGCAGCAAGACCCTGTGTGATCCTGCCGGCTGACCAGAACCTAGTCAGCTGATATCAGCCCTCAATGGGAACTGACCCTTTCCCCTGCCTAGCCTGTCCACCTCTGGGGGCAGCTGACAATTCAGCCCTAGTTTTCCCAAACCTCTTTTCCCAGCCACATGCCTTCTTTGAACTTTGACCTCTCCTCCACCACAAGCCCTGGACTTTTCTCTTATTCACATTCTTTGGTTATAGTTGATTTAAGGTTTGGTTTCATTTCACTTCCTTTCAGATTCCTTTTTTCATTGTATACATTTATGGTAATAAACTTTGTGTTGACTTAACTCAAGTTGTCCGCTCTTTGGTGTCCAGTCTCTTCACAGCACTGGCCTCCTTCTCACTATTGACTTGCACAAAAGATCACCTCCCTAGTGGATAGCCACCAGATAATTCACCCGCTGCCCAATCCTCTAGCCCTGTTCACCTCACCAGCCTGCCATCTGTGTTCCTAATTCTGCAGAGCAGTACTTAGGGATGGAACCAAGTGGTGACTTTAGGATCTCCCCAACTACACAATAGAATTAGTACACATCGTAAGTAAATTCGAGATCTATGTGAATTTTAGGAATACACTGGATGAGCAATAGCTGTCACATCAACTTTATATCATTGCACTCTATATAATCAAGAAAGTATATCAGCATGTACAATGGTCCATTTCACGAACTCATGTCTATACAAGAATGTGTATTTTGCAAGATTAGATTACCAAGGAGAGAGACATGTGATAGGATGTCAAGCTCTGCAACGTCATCAAATAGATTATTGTCTGTGAGGTTATATGTCATTAGAACAAGTGTGATCATTGTCAAAGAACTGATTGCTTGGTTTATCTTGTGAATCATGAGGTAAACCGTGGGAAATGGTAGATTGCAGCAGATTGTTAACTAATCTGGGCCTGCACAATGGCAACTTCCTTAGGTTAATACTCAACAGCGATGGCACATTATGGGCAGATCTGGTGCAGAGTGCAAAATCTTCAGGCCCAACCACACAGAGGCTCCTCCTGAGCTGATCTAGTTCCGCTGCCCTCAAACAGCTTCTGGGCTGCAAAATGCATAGCCACAGCACACAGCAATCCTGGAGCTCCCATCAGGCATTCTTTCAGCTTCTGGCCTTAACATATCTTGACACCATATGTTGAGACAGAGGATCCATGAATACAACCTTTGATGACTCTTCCTGACCCAATTCAGGGGGCTACTCCCAGTGCCCAGGCGGTGCACCCTCTTGATGTTTTCTGGCCCTCCAGATCATTTCCCTGAGCCCTCCACCACCCTGGAGACGGCTGAACTACTCTCCCCAATTCAGGATTCAAAACAAACACCACCCATCTGCTGCATCACTCTCTCTGCCCTTACTGGGTAACCTAGTGCACATGTCTTTCCACTCAACCACACTCTCCCCCCAGCCTGCTCCTCTCCCACACTCCACACCACCAGCCAAGCATCGATGGCATCTCTGACCTGTTTTCACCATGACTCTGCAGGTCCTACGGCCTGTGTGAGCAGATGAGGGATGCTGAGCATGCCTAGCCCTGCAAGGGATCAGAGAGAGGAACACAGGGGGAGACCTCAGGGCAAGAGTGGTACATACAGAGAGGCAGAGGGAGACAGGGGCAGAAAGAGAGGGAGAGAGTGAATCAGAGTTAGACAGCAAAAGGCAGAGAAGGTTGGTGAGGACTGAGTACAGGGAAGGTTTGAAAATGGCTGAGTGCCGACGACCAGCACAGTGGCAGATTAGCAAGGCTGACCCAGGGATGAGAGTCTGAGCTAGGCGGTCAATGTTTCGGCGCAGAAATGACAGACAGACACACTTCAAGAGTGAAGATACAATGTAATGTGCTCAAAATCATCATACACTTTTATACCTTTTTAAACAATGGATGATATCATACAAGTTAATTTTTTCTCAGCATGTGATGTTTAGTCATACAAAAGACATTTACTTTATCATTCAGGTACATGTGATCGGTGTTCCATGCCATGGAACGGTAAACAATCGCAAGGTTCTGATTACAGGAATCTATTTCTACACAATTATTTTTGATTATACAGAACAGCATTTCTTAGGTTAGGTTTTCTTGTTTCTTTCCCAATACCACTAATATTCAGAAAGTATTAATATTTAACTACTGTTATATTTTACTTTCAGTGATCATGAACAATGTTTTTTCTACGTAAGCATTTAATTTTTGTGGTTTTGACTCATGTGAGAAGCATTATGATTATTCCGAGACTACTTTTACCCCACACTAATTTCTTCATCATGTGTTTCCTGAAACTGATTTTACACATATATAGAAAAAGTAAAGTAGGTAAGAAAATAGTATAATTTTCGACTGGTTGCTATGTTACTTCTTATGCAGGAACAATGACCAACTGGTTAATAGTTAAACCGCTTTGTTGGTGACTCCATCAGGCAGCAGCCATGTTCTCAGCCAAAAGAAGGGGTTTTTTACTGCGGGCTTAATGCCTGGATTAGGCTTACAGGCCTTTAGCCATTTGTCTGATTTGAACACCAAAGACTATTATAATGAAGCCCCTCGGGGACAGGCATGCGGCTAGCCAGTGCCTTCTCTACTCTGCCCCAGATCTTACCCGGCATTGACTGTCCAGTCCAGCACACAGGGGAACGGGGTCTTATTCACTCGGATGTACTATGTGTCTGAGTGAAAGCCTCCCTCTTTCCAGTAAGGTCACTGGCGTTCAGCGGCAGGGGCTGCCGCAGCCGACCTGATGTGATTTGCTCTGGAGTGGATGCCCTACTCTGGGGTCTAATCCCAATAAGAAACCAATCCCAGTTCCTCAGAGTATGGTCAGCAGGTACTTGAGCAAGGAGGGAGCCTGGACACATCAGTGATCCAGCACACTGCCCTGTCTGTGGGCCTGGAACTTGAATCTGGCCCATACGGGGTCAAGAAGTTTGTGGCCTTAGGACAGTGGGGTGAATTGAGACATTTTCTATTGCCCCAGGAGGACAAGCACACAGAAGGAAGATGACTTGCACAAAGCAGAGGTAGTAGATCTGGGTTTGTGTGTTGAGGTGACCTCCTCTGGAATGGGCCTATCCAGGCCAAATTTAGGCCTAGTCCCAAAGGACAACAGCCTCCCCTACAAGAAACAGCAGGGAGGCGTGGGCCCAGCCCTGTGCACCTCCTTAAGAGAGGCGCTACACTGCCCTATTGGGCCAATGGGAAAAAGGGGCCTGGAGGCAAAGGAAGCTCCAAGGTCTTGTCCTTGGCAGGAGAACAACCACCAGTTCGGCAGCCGGAAACCTGCATCCCCTCCTGAGGCCCTGGCTACATGGAGCCATCCAAGGGATTTGGGAGGTTGTACTGGTGTCCTTGGTGTGCATGGACAGGCACAGGAAGGGACTCAAGCAGCCAAATGGGGGGAGGGGCTTCTCTGAAGGAGTCCCAGGTAAGGGAATCTCAGGGTGTGACATCACTTTCCTGATTGACACAGCACAATACTCAGAACCCAGTATCCCGGTAGCCAGGTTCTAAACAAAAATCGACCCAGTTCACTTTCAGGGAGAACCAGGAGCAACAAAGATGTTTTGCTGCATTCCGAGGTCTCCCGACCCCAAGAAAAGGCGCAGGAACCTCTTTCAGACGCTGGTGCAAGGCATCAGGAGACTACTCAGATTTGGCAGGCCAGGAGCCAGCGTTGCCCCAGCGGTAAGCAGGGGTTCACTGGGAGAGGACATACCAGGTCACCACTCTAATGCTCCCTGGCCCCCCTAGGACTCTGTGTGTGCTTGTGTGAGTGTGTGAGTGTGTGAGAGTGTGTGAGTGTGTGTGCACGGGTTCCTATGTGAGTGACATCATGTATGTGCTCCTGGAGAAGGGTACGTTCCTCCTAGGTTGTGGGTCATGGTAACTCCCAGTGCTAGGGGACCCAAAAGCCACAATCACCCCCTGTTGTCCCAGTACATGCCGCCCTGCACGTGTTTCTGTTTTCTCCTTGGAGGTACCCTCCAACCTGGAAGATGAAGAGTCCGAGGAAGAGGATTTCCCCTACTCTCCTCCCAGCCCACAGAGCACAATCCGTTGCAGGCCCAAAACCTGCGCTAACACCAGGCGCAAGTTTCAGTGTTTGGAGCTTGTACACAAGTGCAGGGCAAAAGACCTGAAGCCAATGGAGGAATTTCCTGAGGGTGAGTGGCCCATGGTCTTGCCGAGACTCCTCTAGGAGGTGGAGGTCCATATCTCCCCTGGCAGGTGCCCACGCGGGAAGGGTTTGGTGTAGGAGCACTCTAAACTAGGACATCGAGCTGCTGGACTTAGGGGGCAAATGCCTGAGGGTTACTATCCCGGACTGATCTTTGTTCAGGGCTCTGGCAAGTAGTCTGTTGGCAAAGGCACGGGGCAGTATGGCTTGTGGCTGATGGCCTCTCCATTGATCTCCAGCTCCTTCTCCACCACTAAACCTGGAAGATGAGGAATCCGAAGAAGAGGATTTCCCCTACTCGCCTCCCAGCCCATTGAGCGCGATCCGTTGCAGGCCTAAAACCTGCGCTAACACCAGGCGCAAGTTTCAATGTATGGAGCTTGTACACAAGTGCAGGGCAAAAGACCTGAAGCCAATGGCGGAATTTCCTGAGGGTGAGTGGCCCATGGTCGTGCCGAGACTCCTCTAGGAGGTGGAGGTCCATATCTCCCCTGGCAGGTGCCCACGCGGGAAGGGTTTGGTCTAGGAGCACTCTGAACTAGGACATCGAGCTGATGGACTCAGGGGGCAAATTCCTGAGGGTTACTATCCCGGACTGGTCTTTGTTCAGGGCTCCGGCATGTAGTCTGTTGGCAAAGGCATGGGGCAGTGTGGCTTGTGGCTGATGGCCTCTCCATTGATCTCCAGCTCCTTCTCCACCACTAAAGCTGGGCACCACTGCATCTCACTGGACAGGACCAGAGTCCTGCCATGTATCCAAATCATCACAAGCGGACTTCACATGCCGAGAGGAGACACCAGGATCATCTCTCTCCTATGATCATCCACAAAATACCCAGCATTCTGCAGGTGGCCAAGGAGACTCTGAGATCTCTGTATCCCTGCACGGTGAGATTGCCACTAGCCAGCATCCTGCCAGATGTCCTCTGGCCATTGCGCTTCTACCACCACTGCTGGGAGAGTCAGGCCCACTCCCAAATCTTCCAGGACAAGTTGATAGTGTTGAGCTTAGCCCACACCTGAAGGGTGAGCCAAGCTCCAGCCCAACCCCAACAGGGGATGATGGCGGAGATGGGATGCTCAGAGTAGCCCCCCTGTGGGAGAAGGTCCAAGGCCGGGATGTCCCTAGGGTTCGCCAGTGCTGGGTGGTCACAGAATCTGAGCTGGAGGAGGAAATACCTGAGGAGGATCTAGAAGAATTCTCAGATGATTCTGAACTGTGAGGCCAACTGCAGAGGGTATTATTCATTGGCGAGGATGCTGCACCTTAGGCTGAGGGTGATGAGTTCATTCACCCCCGCAGTAGGAACTCAGCCCTGCGCAACATCTCGCAGCTTCAACAGAAGGTAGTGGGCTAAGAAATGCCCTCTTGGGCAGCAAGACCCTGTGTGATCCTACAGGCTGACCAGAACCTAGTCACCTGATATCAGCCCTCAAAGGGCACTAACCCTTTTCCCTGCCTAGCCTGTCCACCTCTGGAGGCAGCTGACAATTCAACCCTAGTTTTCCCAAACCTCTTTTCCCAGCCACATGCCCTCTTTGAACTTTGACCTTATTCCACCACAAGCCCTAGTTCTTTTCTCTTGTTCAAATTCTTTGATTATAGTTGATTTAAGTTTAGGTTTCATTTCACTTCCTTTCAGATTCCTTGTTTTCATTGTATATATTAATGTTAATAAATTTTGTGTTGACTTAACTCAAGTTGTCCACTCCTTTGGCGTCCAGTCTCTTCATAGCACTGGCCTCCTTCTCACTATTGACTTGCACAAAAGATCACCTCCCGAGTGGATATCCACCAGATAATTCACCCACTGCCCCATTCCTCAGGCCCTGTTCACCTCACCAGCCTGCCATCTGTGTTCCTAATTCTGCAGAGCAGTACTTAGGGATGGAACCAAGTGGTGACTTTAGGATCTCCCCAACTACACAATAGAATTAGTACACATTGTATAAGTAAATTTGAGATCTCTGTGAATTTTAGGAATACACTGGATGACCAATAGCTGCCACATCAACTTTATATCATTGCACTCTATATAATCAAGAAAGTATATCAGCATGTACAATGGTTCATTTCATGAACTCTTGTCTATACAAGAATGTGTATTTTGCAAGATTATATTACCAAGGAGAGAGACATGTGATAGGATGTCAAACTCTGCAATGTCATCGAATAGATTATTGTCTGTGAGGTTATATATCATTATTAGAACGTGTGTGATCATTGTCAAAGAACAGATTGCTTGATTTAGCTCATTTATCATGAGGTAAACCTTGAGAAATGGTAGATTGCAGCAGATAAATAATTTGGGCCTGAGCAAATGGCAAGTTCCTTAGGTTAATACTAAAAGTGATCCTGTATTATGGGAAGATGTTGTACATAGTCCAAAATCTCGAGGCCAACCACACAAAGGCTTCACCTGAACAGATCTAGTCCAATAGCCCCAGTGCTGCCTCCGGGCTGCAGCATGCACAGATACAGCACATAGCTGTCCCAACCTTCTACCAGGCGTTCTGTTCCACTTCTGAGCTTTATGATGTCAATATGCCATGTGTTGAGACAGAGGTTCCAACAATATAGACTTTTATGACTCTTCATGGCCAAATTCAGGGGCATCCTCCCAGTGCCCAGGCAGTGCACCCTCTTAATGGCTTTGGCATTCCAGATCATTTCCTTCACACCTCCAGCAACCTGGAGGCAAGCAGGGCTCTTCTCCCCATTCATATTCCTACAACCAACCCCTCACTCTCTCTGCCCTTACTGGCTAACTTAGTGCACATCTCTTCCCACTCAACCACACCGTCCCACTTGCCCCCTCATCTCTGGCACTCTGTCCCACCAGCCAAAAGTCCCCTGGCATCTCTAACCTGTGCTCTCCAGGAATCTGCAGCTCCCGGTGCCTTTCTGAGAAGTTGAGGGTAGCTGTGCATGCCTAGCTGCTTGGGGATCAGAGAGAAACACAGGGGGAGACAGCTCAAGATAGTAGATACAGAGTGGCAGAGGGGATAGGGAAAGACAAAGAGCTGAGGATAGACAGAGAGAGAGTGAAAATCAGAGTTAGAGGGATGGATCAAATAAGGGAGAGACTGCTGTTGAGAACCTGAACAAGGACAGCGACAAAAGTTACCGCCTGGGCATCACTCACTCTTGGAGTAGAGCCCACCCCTTGAACCTAATCATCCCAACCAGAAACCAGTCCCAGTATAAACTCCCAGAGGTCATGGTCAGCTGGTTATTGAACAAGGAGGGATCCCAGATGCCTCTGTGACTCAGCACACACACTCTGTGGTCCTAGCACCTGATTCTGGCACACACAGGGTCATGAAGGATGAGGCCAGAGAGAGTGTGGGTGACTTCAGCCAGATCTATCCTCCCAGGACAGGCACACTGGAGGGACGATGACTTGCCCACAGCAGGTGCTGTGGACCTGGGTGAGGTATGTGCAGGATACTTCCCCTGGATGGGCCCCTTCACGTCAGCATGAACCTGAGACCCATACAATAAGAGCCTCCCCTCCAAAGGTAGCAGGGAGAAGTGAGTCCTCCTCTGAAGACCTCCCTGGGGAGAGTTGCTACACTGCCCCACTGTGCCCGTGGCAGACAGGAGCCTGCAGCAAAGGATGTTCCAGGGTATCCTACCTGGCAAGAAGGATGAGCCAGGTCAGTAGCCAGCAACCTGTTTACCCAGCTGAGGCTCTGGCCGAATCTTACCATCCAATGGCTTTTGGACGTAGTGCTGATTTCAGTGGTGTGGATTGGGCCTGGCATGAGGGGGAATAGAAGTTGCCCAAGCTGCCATGGGGACATGGGGGGGCTGTCTTTTCTGAGTTGGAAGTCCAGGTAAGGAGACCATATTATGACACCCTGATATGATACCCTCCAAACTCACAACTAAGTGAGTGAGAAAATTTGTTATATATGAGATGTTTCAGTCATTGGTCTGTCATGCAAGAGTTCGTATGTCTTTGAGAGGTCTATTTGCTATGGAAGTCATATGAGGGATTTGAGTTTAATGACCTTATAAGTATGTATAAACTGTATGAAGAGTAGACTAGAGTGTGGGAGTGATGGTGGGAGGTAATCATAAGGATTGAAATGGTCATTATATTCATAGACCTAGATAAAATTGCCCAAAGTACAAGTGTGAATGAAGAGGAACAGAAGAGCATGGAATGAGCTCTGAGAACTTCAAGTAATTGTCAGAAAGCAGAGCCAGTGTAAGAGACTGAGAAGGAGCAGAGAACAGGGAAGGAGGAATTGGTAAGGAATCCATTGTTTGAATTTTGATAGTTGGCTCCCACTTTCACATGAAGGGTTAGATGTCAGGTGTCAATGTTGAAATAAGATATGGTGTAATTTTTTAAAAATAATAATGAAGTAAATACAATTACATCAGAAATAAGGTATAAAGAATTGACAGATATTGACAATGTATTTGCATCCAACTATCCTAGAATGTGTGCAATTGTGTTAATAGCTGATGATATTCTGAGATACTGACCTGTGACAATCACTCAAAACACAGGAATGGTTTTTCAGTGGTCTATAGGAACTATAGGAAACTTTATTTCTGAATTCATAAAGTGGCCCTATTTTTCAGAAGCTAATCAGAGTAATCTAATCCTGATAACATTTGTCTATCTTATAAACAATTCTATATAAAAATTACATTTTGCCTTCTCTCAGCAGACAGTTGCAATCATTGTCTAAGGAAATCAAGACAAACAAAATGTGGCTGCCGAGCAGAAGGCTATATCAAAGTATTCCCACAATAGCTATTTGCTAAAGGCAGTGTTTTATAGTCTTAATTATAACACTGCTGGAAAATCATGGAATGCATATACAAATTCATTTACTTCATTTGTTTTTCACCCTTAGGTGCAATATTGTAAACAACTGCATTTGGAATATGAAACAGATTTATTCCCAAGCAGTGTTGATTTATTCCTAGTAAAATGGATTTCCTTCAAACATGTCATCATGTATAATATTCTGGCAAGTCAGAGTTTTAATTTCATTAAAGGGTATATTTTTATGGCTCCAAATGCTATTTTGCCACCATTTATTGTTGAAGAATTTAGTAAAAATTAAAAATTGATAATAATTATAAAATATGAACTGATTACTGGAATGATATTTTGGAAATCGGTGAGTAATTACCACCTCCATAAAAATTAACCAGAATGAACAGAAAATAAGTATAAGCTAAGTCATCACAATGTTTTTCTTCATCACTAAGGAAAAGCCAGTCATCTCTGAGAAATAAATTTTCTCTTGTTTTTAGTAGAGCATTTTATTATAGATGCAATGAAATCTAACTAGAAAACTAGAGCAATGAATATAGTTTTTCCATTTCTAATTTCTATATGCTTTGGAAATTTAAAACAATCTTATCACTACATATTAGATTCTCATTGTCCAGATTTTAAATCAAGGTGTAATAGCAGGAGGGTTACAAATGAATGCATTAGTTTTAGGGAGTTGGAGTTGAAAGTCATAAAGAGGATGATTTCCCAACTAATTGCTTGAGCGAAACTGCAGATTTGTGCTGTTGTACATATCTTCTGTGTCTTGCATCTGTAAGGAAATCATAGTTGCACCCAAACCAAATTCTTCTGGGAAAGGATCTCTGGCTGCCCACCTTGCTAAGTTGTGTCCATCTTTAAATTGAGCTACCTACACGTTTTAGATTCTATAGTTCTTTTTTTTTTTTTTAAGATTTATTTTATTTACACAAAAACCAGGGTGCAGGCCACGTGGGAGGGTGAGAGGATTCACCAGAGACAGAGTAGCTAAGAGAACAGGCAGATGAACCGAAATACACTGCTGAGGGGAGCAGCAGGCAAGACAGGAGAGGTCTGCTTGCCATGTGGTTTGCTCCGATGTCGGTGGGGATCGAACCGGCACTGCAGAAGCTGCAGACAGCTTCATAGCGCTGCGCTCAACCACCTGCACCACCAGGGAGGCCCTTTAGTTCATTTTAAGGAGACAGATGAATTTGTCTAGTGAGATTATTTTTATTTTTATTTTTATTTTTTTAAACATCTATTTTTATTTATGTATACGTACAAGAACTGGGGTGTAGGCCTGTGGTGCAGGAGGTGAGAGGATTCACCAGAGACAGAGTGGGGAGCAGAACAGGTGGATCCACTAAAATACACTGCTGAGGGGAGCAGTGCATGAGACAGGAGAGCTCTGCTGTGCCTTGTGGGTTAGCAACCTGGCCAGGGATCAAACTCATGCAGCAGTGGCTGTTGATAGCTTGATAGAGCTGAGACTTTACCCCTTGTGCCACCAGGGAGGCCCTGGCGAGATTATTTTTAAATGTTTTATCAGTCAAGGTTTTAGGCAGGAAATAAAATGTAGGAAAGCATTTTATACATTTACTTAGAAAGGAATTTCATACAAAATAAGTGGGGTGGAATTGCATGGGAAATATAACCAAAATGAAAATGCATACATTGTGCAAAAATGAAAAATGATGTAAGAATTATATAAAATAAAATATATTAAACATAAAAAGATAAATAAATAAATCTTTATAAAAAGAAGAAGAAGGCAGAAG